TCCTTCGAAGCAAACATTTAAACGTACGTAGCTAGTTCCATCACTAATCCAAATAACATACCGGTTAATACTCAATTTGGCTCCTTTAAAACTCACTACAATGCGATGTAAAAATCAAACTTAAACATCTCACTCCCTATCGTGAAAACCCAAAAATAAAGCTAAAGCAGTATTGTATGTCTATCGCCTTTCACACACAGAATGAATCAACAATCTCCTAAGTCAGGGGAAATACTTGTGGATTTACTTTTGCGAAAATGCTCAAACTAGATCTTCACCACCTATTTGTGACTTGCATTAAAGGGGAAGACCAACGATTTTCAACAAGGTTTCCATAAATCTTAAATATATATTGATAAATAATCCCCTCTGTAACACAAACAAAAAAGATTTAATAAGCGAGAAATTATTTTTATTAAAACCGGAAGTGACATACTTGGTTCAACATGCTGACTGGGCTCTATAGTAAGCATACAGATTTGACACAAGTTTACTGCTGTATTGTGTTCACGCGTCGTCCTTTGGCCAAAAATCTGATCAAATCGGTTGTTTATTAGGATGCCCATAATTTTGATCTGTTTATGTTGCAAAACGCTGTCAGCAAGCACAAAAAACATCGAAGCAGACGAAACACACGTCACTTGCAAGCTGTCAATCAAACCACGTGATATAAACAATTAGCCATGTGGAGTGAATTGAGGCACAGCGTACAGTTTAGTATGAGTGAATTTACGCCACGGCTTTGTGTACTAAACGTTAAAAAACCCATAAATTCGTGTTCATGATATCCTAATAAACAGCCCATTTGATCCGATTTTCGGCCAAAGGACGACGCGTGAACACAATACAGCAGTAAACTTATGCCAAATCTGTATGCTTACTATAGAGCCCAGTCAGCGTGTTGAACCAACTATGTCACTTCCTGTTTTAATAAAAATTAATTTCTCGCTTACAAAAACGTTTTTGCTTGTGCTACAGAGGGGATTATTTATCAATATATATTTAAGGTTTATGGAAACCTTGTTGAAAATCGTTGGTCTTCCCCTTTAATCCAACGTCTATCTATCCATTACTGTATGACACCAAACCCCCAAAATTGGAAGGTCGATATCAGATGCAATCCGAATTTATGTTTTCCATCAACGAATGACACATCAATGAATATTCAAGTAACTAAAGGTGCCATTCTCCATATCAATTGAACAACTCTCCAAGCACAATTAAACCCATTTCACAAACAAATGGTGTATTGTTAGACTGGTATCAAGGGATAAAATGAGGGCACTGCTGCTACATAATCCCATTTAACCGTTGAACATAATCTCAGACTGATGGCAAGAGTGATCGGTTTTAGCTTCCAGTCATAGACAATAAACATTCCGTCAAATTGATTGAAATTTACGGACAGAGGGATGACAAATACAGATAGAAAACCTAAAGGCAAAATAAATTCACCCTATTCTATAACGCCTTTAATCAACTTTTATTCTTTTACGATACGGTGGGTAAAGTAAGTTCACAGTATGAACCTACTACTACACCTGCTGGTATGCAAAAAAATAAGGGTTAAAGTACATCTATTTAAATAAATATCCGTAAAATTCTAATTTTAGTTATGTCAATTTAATTTTTACATTTGTTGCTATTGATTTCACAAAACCATCTTTATTTGTTTTTTATAAATAACATAAAAATTCCGTCATCTTTTTCGTACAAGCCAAATCAATATTCATGGATGTATTCTTTAATTCGAAAATGCTCTAGTGTAGAATTTACGGTGGCTGAGCGCCAGAGATACTAAGATAGTTAAGTCCATCGCTCGAGATAATGAAATCCAGCGCTCGAGATAAGGTTCATTTTCGTGTTTAATTCGTGTTTCCATTTTGCTCTTCATAAGGCCATCTTGAGGGCATCTTGTCAAGTTCGTCTTTATTTCGTTTACATTGTTTACGGTCATGAGACAAAGAAGCCCATTGATTTTCAACGATTTCCGATAATTACTGTCAGGTTTATGGCCCTTGATCATTTTGAAAATCTTGTGGCTCTTTAAAAAATCTTGTGGACTCTCTAGAGGTTGAAGTTACTATCCGATAGACTTTAAATTTATGCACGGTGTTTAAAGGAGCTAAATCGCTAATAATTGAGACTTATGGGTCGCATCACATATAATAATGTAATATGAATGTATATAAACTGATTTACATTTAATTGTTTCTGTTTTTACTGTAAATACGCCAGAAGTCTCAATCGAATGGCAATCACTAGCTTTTGGTCATTCCAGTCTACACCGATAGTATTTATTGCGCATGCTCTCCAGATAAGAATATGTCGTCACCGTTTGACATGACTTGTGAAATATATCTAGCCGCGCTCTTCGAGTCCCTTGTTACAAATGGCGCTCAAACGCATTATGGTACACAATTCGTGCACCAAGGGTAAGACGTATATCTCATCTTAAATATTGGATATCAGAAGTCCATCTTTTTCCGGTAAGACCATAACATCAATCTTGATTTAAATTAATAAATAATTCGTGTGTTCAATGTCGAAGACTTTGGATAATACTGAGTTAGAGACCTTGCTACTTTAAGGTCACGAGACGAAGAAGTCAGTTCATATTCAATGATTTTCGATAATTACTGCCAGAGTTATGACTCTTGAACACTTTGAAAATAATTGCGGAAGCTCTAGAGGCTATAGTAAATATCCGATTGACTTTAAATCGACAAACAATCGAAACAAAGTCTAATGATTTATGATAGTTACTTAATAGGGTGTTACTCTTAATCTGATTCTAGTGTGTTGTAACTGTTTTCATTACTGACGAAAAGAAAAAAAAAATGTGCGACAGTCCTTGATTACTGAGCGTACGACTTAGCTGATGTGGGCTTATGTTTTGTTGCCTGGCAACCTATCTTATATGTTCACGTTACCATGACACATGGGAAACGCTTAAACTACTCAAATTCGGCTTTCTTCGCCGACACCGTGGTCCCATCTCGATGTCGTACGATGGCTACACGACGGTATTGCGAGGGCTTCACGTAGTGTTGCCTTTCTAAGACAATCGAGTGAATTCTTGTTTACTTCGAGGAGAAAATGCCCAATGGCACCGACGATCTGACGAAGTAAAGACGAAGATGACAAGATGTCCTCACGATGCCCTCATAAAGGGCAAAATGAACACACGAATTCAACACGAAAATGAACCTTCGCAAGGTCTTTCGACATTTTTTTTTTTTTTTTTTTTTTGGCACGCCAAAGTTTTTGCCAGCGCTCACGACGTTGCTGCCGGAGCCTGCAAAACTCCACATGCATTTATACGATGGCTTAAGATGCCCTCACGAATGACCCGATATTTTTACGATCAGAGCCGAATTTGTACATTTACTGTATCGGGTGTCCATCTCGTGTCCATTTCGGGACAGTGAGGATACCCGGAAATATTTTATTTTTTTAATTTTAAAGCCATTGAATTGGCATTGGCACAAGGAGTTAGGAAATGTAATAAATTTTAGTTAAAACTAGATTGATGTATATATTGCAGAATGTGAAAACAAAGTTTCTACCACAGAATCAGACAGAGAGTAACTCTTTAATATTTATAGTTTCTTGGAAAATGGCGTTTAAAATATTTGCCTTGCCACGATACTTTGTCTTTAGATAAAATATTTTCATTAATGATAATTCAAATTGTTCTCTAGGCTTTAAAAGCTAGTTTTCCTGTATTTATTAATCCAGTGTAAACTTACCCCTAAAACATATACTGTGGTTGAAATTGTGATACAAAATCAAACACAAGTTATAGATTTAGAAAAATAAAATAAAAATAAAATAAGCCAGTTATCACAGTAGTAAAGCTTCCAGGCAGTGAACTAATGATAGATGACAGAACGCATCCCAAGACAACTGACAATTCACGACTACTGATAAAAAATAAGGTATCATTTAGAACAATGACAATTTACCAACTGATTGTTTCGACATCTTGAGGAACTTGAAAGATACTTGCATGTGGGATACTCGTGAAGAGAATTATTGAAGCAACCAAGTCGATAAAACGAATTCCCCAAAGGTTATCATTTTTTTCGACGATTATAGGAAATTTTATGATCGTCTTATCCTGTTTATCCGGATAATACCAGCTAATATTGAGGATGCAATACAAAGACACTGGAAGCTAATGTAAATGTAAAATATTGAATGTTGATAATATGTATTACAAGAACAATGATTCTAACAGCACAATGTGTCATAAACAATAATCAATTTACATGTATGCACTAGTTTTGTCATGAACTTTACATTTAGCCATTGCTATCTTCCCATTATTAGAGGATCGCAGTGGTCTAGCAGTGGGGAACTTGTCTCTTAACTTAAATGTTCAATGTTCGAATCCTATCGTGGGATGAAAAGAATCTTCTAGTTCTCTGTGGTGACACCTGTGGGGCTGACAATAAATGTGTGCCAGGGACGAAAAATCGACGCCTACCCGTGTACACGCTGTCATGCGCGTAAAATAATCGATGCCAGGAGAGGTGTGGGGGCGTTGCTGCCCTGGATGTTAAATCTCATTCCTTCCTAACATTCAGATCAGTATTTTTGCTACGGCTGGTAGACGTATATGAAAGCTTTGCACGAGCAGGGTAAGCTAAGACAGAGATGTCATAAGATGACACATTTTACATAAATATTTGCATTTGAATTCACTATGACGAGCTAAAGTCATGTTAGATTTTAAAACATATTAATCATAAACTGTGTGTAATTTACACATTAGAACTAGTAAATTGTTGCTTGAACTGTGGTGCTACTCATTTAGCGTTTTACGCCAAATAAGTAGAATGATCACGATTCGCTTGTAAAATTATTAAACCAATGAATCTAAAATGAATGAGTTCATCTGACCTCGACATATATCACCCTACTTCACCCGACCACCATTTGTTGTGGGTTTTTTTTCAACTATTTAACAGCGGATGAAAACAAGAATAGCTTACCCAAATCACTGTCTAAATCTGAGTCATCATCATCCAAATCATCTTCACTGGATAAATCACTATCTGATTTTCTATCTTGATCTTTCTGATCTACTGGTAAATAACCACACCTTTTACTGCCTGAAAAGTAAACATATTTATATTATCACTCCCGTCTTCATTAGCCCAGTCGGTGCAGAAAAGTAGGACGTTAAATCTCATTTCATTTCATTTCATTTTATATTATCATTGATTTAACTGATCTGGAATTTTCCTGCACTACGTTGGGTGAAAATGACCGTACGCCCTGTTGCGTTTTATGGACAGATTAGTGATGTATGTCTATTAGAAGATCCTGGTGCGATGAATGTTATATCTTTTCTCACTGTGATACTCGTTTATCTATACCCTGAACGGCAAGAACAAATCTGCAAAAGAACACAAATAACCTGTGACTAATGTAAATAATGACGAATACTTCAAGAAGTGTCAAATTGTCATTATAGCCCGTGATCTAAAAATCGCTATTTTAGTTAGTGACATTATTTGAGACAATGCTGGAGTTTTATAATTCTTTTGAATTCTCATAGCTATATGTCTGATAGGAAGCTATGTTTCATTGAATCAAGACTATGCCACGTCATTAAATCAAGTAATATTTAGTATCTATTACCTGTCCCAATTCACCTAATCGCACAGTCGAGGCCCAAGTCAAGTTAGTAAAGCGATCTTTAATTGTAATGAGTTGGTCTCAGAGGGCGTTATTAGATTACTAAAGGGCAAGAACGGAATGCAAGAATTGGTGGTTACCTTTGTGCCCCCCCCCCCCCCCGAGTGAAATCGGTCAAACAGCACAAGACCAGTTCTGGTTGCCACCAATGACTGCTATATTTCAAATCTCATTTTATGGATGGAATTAAATTAAATGTACACGTACATTATTTTAGGAGCTATAGATTAATATCTATTTCAGGCTTTATGTAATGCGACAGATTTAATTGAGGTTTTATTGACCGGCACTTCTTGTTTTCAAAACAAAAAGGCCAATATATTATTTATAATGTTTCCGATATTTATATGAAAACAAAATTGTATGACATAAATCATTCAGAGGCGAAGTCGTCTTTGAGTCGACATATAAGCTATTTATGGGATGCATGTAATGTTACGTATTCAAACAATCAATTGATAAAAACAACACAACAGACAATGCACCAATCAAATTAGCTAAGTGGAGTTGATGGATTCGGTAACATGAAAATTTCTGGCATTATGTGACATTAGTTTTAACCCCTTCCGTTCAAAACATTTTACCCTTCAGTAAAAATAGCAATAAATAACTCGCCATTATTTCTACAGCTTCCGATACATTTCATCTTATGTCGATAGATTTTACTGAAAGGAAATGTCTCTGTTTTCCCCACCGGTCTTTTATCAATCTTAATGAAATTGAACTTTTACATGCATTCTATATAAAATCATAGCATGCAGTTACAACTCTCCAAAGAGCAATTTTCCTCTCTTTCCTTTTATCTTACATATCTATTGAGATTTTACGCTCGTATGATTCAAATATATTCTATTGTGACCCGGCAACTTTATTGCAATGCCGAATTAAGAATGAATAATGAAATTGCATTGGGCTAGAAGATCCAGACGATTGAACTTTATAAACATTGGACGATATTTAAAAGAGAAAATAAACATATTGCGCTCGACAGTACACGCTCTATGTTTCCTATTGTTTTCCTTTTGATATACGTTTTTAAAATTCCAAATACATACATTTCTCTGTCTTCTGTTTCATACTTAGCATATTAATGTGTATGAAATTGGTATATTTTATTGTTAATCAATCATATTTCTCTGTGGTATAAAATGGGAAATGAAACCCTAACTGTAACTATCTTTGGTTGCCACAATCTAATGTGTGGAGAAAGCCCATGATAAACTGGAATTTGTTTTACAGCCACCTACTATTGTGGTTTAATTATTTCAATGTTTGTTGTAAATGTTAGTTCTAGGATAAAACTAATCAATCAAATGTAGTTATCTTCCAAAAGAAAAAAGAAAATAAATGAATAAGATAGGTTTTAAAAAAAATATCTTGAATTATTTATAATTAATTTTTCCAACAGTCAGCTAGTTTCTTAGGCCTAATTAAAACATAACATAGACTAAATGAATTGGCAGAATATAGACGTTGCAAGTAGGTTGACTACACTATTTCAAATGAAATGTGTTTAAACGTCTTACTTTTCTGCCCCGTCTAGGCTAATGAAGACGGGAGGGGGCGCTATTTGAGCCAAAACACAGACATTCAGTTGTACACATTACAACTAACTAGAAATTAATCCCTTTTTTCGTTTCGGAAAATATCATAAACAAAATGCAATATTCCGTCAATACAGTACTTTGATCATTTGAGACTAACGTATTTTTTCTGCGTTCACGTATGCAATGGTAAGGGGAATTTATCTGGTCAGGGCATTTCCAATTACTCTTTATCCAAATCTAAGTGTCAGTGGCTCTTTTACGTCCACGCCAAAGTTAACGCTGGTGAGCCTAGGATTTTCGCCCCATCGGAACAAAATAGCAACAATTGTCAACTCCGAAGACACTATCCTTGAATAGTGTGAACCAGGCTTCTCGGGGCACACCGGAATTCAAACCTGCGAGATTCTAGTCGAGAGTTAAATGCCCTTACCGGTCTCCATGACCAACGGGAATGTTCTACGTACATCTTTTTAAACAACAATGACGGGAACTGGACGAGCGTCATTAAGTAACCACACCATCACGAATAACCAATATTAACCCAAATACTTTGATTTGATAAGGAAAAAGATAAATCCCAGAAATTGCTATATTCCAGTATGCGTTCTAAATTAACGTCTCTGTTAAATCTGTTTTGAATACATTATAATTAAATTATTACTAAATTATTCATTGAAGTGCTAGACAATGTCAGATCGCAACACACAAAACCATAAATTTCTTGCAATTGATTTACAATCCCAGGCTATTTGACCTCCGTTTGATTTCATAAAAGCGGAGATGTCAAGATTCATTGAAACGTCATCCAGGCATCCTTTGTCATTATCAATGTTTTTTTATTTGTCTTTCAAGTCAAAGCGTTGAAACAATCCTGCTTTATTAACACATTAAAGATACTTAACCTAACCCAAGAGAGAGAGCCGCGATAAAATTCAGGAAAATGGCACCGATATGGCCCACTCGTTTATATTTTATTCATGTTATTGAGAAATGCGAAAATAGAAATAACGAAGAATTGAGGAGATCCAGTTGAAACCGTTTTCAGAACGGAACGCTTCTATCCGACCCGTTTACACTACATAGAATTTAACACTTCCGTTCCCAAAACAGTTCCCGAGACGCTTAAATAATTAATGTAAACCGCGATTATGACTAGCCTAACAATCCCAGTTCTGAAAAAAACAAAACCAACACTGACCTGAAGATCGTGTGTACAAATTGATGATGGACGTACAGACGGGAGACATACATCCACGTCTATAAAAAGTATTGAAAAGTATTACATTGTCATATGAAAGCAAGTGGGATTGCGGATTTAAATAAAGCGTCCATTTTATCGACAAAATATGTTATGATGGATCCCCTTTAAATCCTAAATGCTGTTTTTTAATCTAGAGTTGCCAAAACAGTTGTGTTGCTTAGTGCCTGTCTATCATGCGGACAGTTGAAAAATTGGAGACCCATTTTATCGTTGCGAAACAGTCTGTTATCCGTCTAAACATCTATAATTGGCATGGATGAACCTTACAATGCAGATTGACGCAACGCGCTTTCGATAGTTCATTTAATTGCCTAGAATTAAAAACTAAATCAAACGTGAGTTGATTTCAAGCTTGTAAAATGGCACCTTGTTTTTTCTTCAATACTATTGAAGTGGCGTGAGATAGAAGGAAGGTGTTTTATAAAGCAGATCGGCGTGGAAAATTGAAATTAGTTTCAGGACGAAATTATTCCTAGTAAGGAGTTCAACTGGCAATTTGAGTGAAGTGAAAAAAATCACTCCAAGTCTTTCAAGTTTGATGATTACGTGTAACAATCGGTAGACTGGCGCTATTACACCCTTGAGGTAAAAAAAAATGGAGAGCACACAATTGACAAGCAAGTCATCGACTTTACGACAAATGAAGACAAAAAACGTTTCTCATACAATTCAGATTAAATGGTGAATACGCATAGATAAAGTGACTGGTTTGTGCAAGTGCCAAGTTGTGGCATACGTAACAAGAGACATCCGTCGGCAGTCATTTTGGTTTTGTGGTTTGTATAGGCCATCAGGAATTGCACTAATGTTTCAAAGGTTTGGGGAAATCAAGAATCATTTCTGGGAATGCAATTTATATTATATGAATTCACTTTATGTATCGTTATTAATCAAACGCCACGTTGATATACATTAAATCAAATGTCAGGAATGTCAGAATCGTTACACCGGGGACCAAAATCAAACGTCTAGGTCTTCTCGCGAACATTCAGCAGTCACATAGGAGCTGTTTTACAACTTGGTAATCGAGATACTCTTCATTTTCAGTGATGTTTTGTTAGCTATTTGGACGCTACTCTGCCGATAACTTTTTAAAGTAACTTTAATATACTTTATAATTTTCTGATAGCTTTCAATGTTCTCGTGTCCTGTTCATGGTTTATCGCGCGTATTTTCCAGTTGTGTGATTGATTATGTGTTCCAGTATGTCCATTTGTATATTTTAACAAATTATCCGTAGGAATCACATAACACAAAATAACCTCTAGAAGCCTTTGAACTCAACTGAGACATTCTATCAAGTATAATATAAAGGATAAGCACAATCAAACCAACCTCGTGCACGACTCCCACCATTAGTTATAGCTAACTGGAATTGGAATTCAGAAGCCGGTCGAAGCCGAAGATAATCATTTTCAAAATCTACATTTGTTTCTAACTCGGATTAGAACATCCAGTGACACTACATTACGATATATAATGGTAAAATGCCAAATTACTATTATTATTTCAAGGATATGCTAGTTTGGTCGTTGGTCTATTATTGTGTTTCTCAGCAGTTTCTATCAGTGTTGTTTTGTCATGGTAATAGGTCTTAAACCACGTGACCACCAAAAATGCAACTGCATGCGCATGTACTAAGTGAAATTAAGTTGAGGATTCTATTCATTATATTCTAATAACGTATTAATTCCGCTGATTTGAAACAATTGAAATATCGTCAAATGTCACTTGTTGCAAGACCCGTCCTGTGGTCAAGGTAGAACACATCTCAAAATGAAATGTAGGACTATTTCACCTTGACTTAGTGAAGAATGAATGATGACTAATGATGAGGATCCAAACGACTCTAAATATTTGTTTCGAAGTCACTCATTTATCATTGCGATTTAGACATTTTCAGGGTCACAAAGGAAACCAGACGCTATTGAATAGATCTTAATATAATTGTATTCATTGTTTCCTGCTTTTTAAACAAACTAGTTTGGTTTCTTTCCTTCTATTTGTAGAAGTTTTAATAGCTCAAAGAAGAAATTGTACCCCGTCGACGTTGTCATTATTCAATAACTCTGAAAGGAAACACGTCTATGCTGAGAACGTGGTTATTGTCAACAAACACGTAGCTGTGATTTCTGTAATTCATTGTTCGTGAAAAGAAATCATTACGAATGTAAGAATCGATGGGGTTGTTGCTGTTACTTATATAACACCATATCTCTTTGTTTCTTTTATGACTTTTTGATGAGTCAATATAATTACCTTGGTAATATAATTAATATTGTACAATATACATTACATATATGAGGTCGTCCTCTCTGTTTAAAAATACATAAAACCAACAAATCAACGGCGGAACCCTGTTTGAGAATCTAAAAGAACCAGCTTGAAACGCGACACAAGATCTTCATAATTTGGCATATTAAATATATCAGGATATTAAGAAAATGTGTAAATAATGTTCATTGTGACGTCATCCTTTTTTGGCGATTTTCGTATTTTTTCAAAAGGTTAAATATATTTTTCTCGGCAAACAATTGGGTATAATTATTGCTTTCAGCTATACAACAGACATGTGGAAGTTTCAATATCAATCGGTAGTTTCGGCATCTTGCACTTCATTGAAAAATCCCCAAACCAATACACCTCCTAGACGTCTAATCCAATTGGCAGACTTAATAACTCTTCAAATAACTTTTCTAGGCATAATTTTAATCCGTCGATCAATTACCCATTTCCGATGTATCACAGAATGATTTCATATAGTTATTAAGAAGACTGGGTTTATTGTCCGTCTAAAGTATGTTAGACTATTAGTCTTACTAAATATAGTTGTCAGTCTCTTGTTATCCCTAGTACTAACAGTCATACTAAATGATTGATGCTCATTTTTCTTCCGCTCAAGTTATTCTGACCGGAAAGGACTCTCTATAAATGGATCTGATTCTGGACTCCCTCAGGATATATGTAATTAATATATAATTATATTAATTACCCTCATTTACCAAGAATAATAATTTGAACCAGGCACATATTTGGGTATTATGGTGTTATATTGGTTTTTAGATACATAACAGTTCATTAGAATTATGCAGAAACAACAAAACAGCCTACTCTTGAGTACAAATATCATACAGTTTGGTAGACATATATAGCAATCCATATATAAAAGCTAAAACGGACTCTTCCTTGTCTTGACTGCGATATCACTCTAGGTGGAAGCGGGCGATAAGTCTCAAAAAACGAACGAACTAACTCCTCCTTCTAGAGGATAGCAGAAATTGAACGTCTTTAACGTTGATACGAGGATAATATTTCCCATTATATTTTTTTTATATGTTAACATTAAATTAAATCCTGTGGTTTTCTTGGATCAGTTGGTACTAAATATGGCCCCCGAATCAAATTAATCTGTCTTTTCTCCGATATGTTCTGATTATTTCAAACTGAAACAAAACAGCTTTTGAGAGCAAAGTGGACCTTCTAATTTTGAAGAAAAAGAAAGCTTCTAGCTAGATTGAATTCGGGTCCAGGGTTTCCACTTAGAAGGTTGTCACCCGAAATGGTTGATTGTGGTACCGTAAAAGTCAAGCGGTATATTTCGTGTACCGTAAATGTCGAACAAAATGGCTGGGCAACTTTGTTTCGGAAACGTAGGTGGGTCAAAGCTGATTTCAGAACCGACTTTTAGAGGTTTTATGTTCCATTGCATAACTGCATTTAGGATATTTTAGTTTATACTCCATTACAACTACATTTAGGATATTTTAGCTTATACTCCATTACATAACTACATTTAGGATATTTAGCTTATACTCCATTACATAACTACATTTAGGATATTTAGCTTACATAACTACATTCAGGATACTTTAGCTTAACACTCCATTGCATAACTACATTTCGGATATTTTAGCTCGTACTCCGTTGCATACCTACATTTAGGATATTAATTTAGCTTATACTCCATTAGTCCATTACATAACTACATTTAGGATATTTAGCTTACATTTCATTACATTTAGTATATTTTAGCTTATAATCCATTACATAACTATATTTAACATTACGTGTAACGATCGGTAGACGCGCTATTACACGTTTAAGGTAAAAACAAAATGGCGAGCACGCAATTGACTTACAAGTCATCGACTTTACGACAAATAAAAAGACAAAAACGTTTTTTATACAATTCAAATTAAATGGTGAATACGCATAGATGCAGTGATTGGTTTGTGCAAGT